AAAGAGCTTAGAATGATGGGCCCTTCCATCACTCAATTTTATAAAAAATATTATATGGTAGAAATGTGATAAAGCAAAGAAATATTGGAGTAGGATTCATATCCTAATTCAGAAGATTCTTAAAGTGAATATTGGAATAAAACCAGAAATGTTTCTTTTGGATTTAATGGAAAAAGACTTGGAAAAAAAATTGGAACTCTGATGTTTCTATAAGTTGATGGCAGCAAAATTACTTTATGCACAAAAATGGAAGTTTATAATATAAATAAAAAAAGAAAAGCAGGAAAAAAGCCACCGCAGGTGTAATCCATACAAAAGGGAAATAAAATTATATGTTTGCAAAAAAAAAAAAAGTATATAGAATGTACCTCATACAAAATTATGTCTACACTCAATACAGGTGGATATATGTATGAATGCATTTTTATTAGGAATGAATTAAATAACTAATCAGACTCTTCCTGATCAGTTAGTTAATTGATTAATTGATTGATTAATTAAGTCCTAGAAAGAAGCTAATTCCAGGTATTGCAACAGACAAATCTGGCAAACTGGTACCTTTTCTCCAAGTATTGGAGTAAGGTTAACAAGGAGACCATTGGCATATTTTTTTCCAACTACCTCTCCTTTACCCTGGCATCTAGCAATTATGGCATTCATATTTAATAATGTTCTTGGGACATGAGCCACCTGAGACCAAATTATCAGGCCATGTAGCCTGAGGGAAATGTTTCGGATACAATGGGGTAAAGAGCTCATTGAACTCTGACACTGCATTGTATTTTAACAGTCCATGATTAAATCATTAGTGGCCTCTACTACTGTCCCAAAAAGTAATGGCCTCACTGATTCAGTCTGTAACCACAGAATAGCTGATTGTGGCTATTGGAATACCATGTCTCAGCAAATGTAAGCATACAATTGACAGCTGGCCTGAAATATATCATAATTAACACATGCCACTTCAACTGATTCTAGATTCAAAAGTCCAAGATATATTTATGAGACAGCCAAATTCATTTTTAAATAATATCTGCTGAAATCTCCTAAGTATGGTTCCATTCCAGGTCTGGCATTAAAACTTAAACTCATTTAGAAAATCCTCTATCAAATGGTATGTTTGTTGAAATATCATATATCAATGATTCTTTTAAAGATATTAATTCAGTCTCTTCTTCTCAATAAACATGGTAAAAATTACCTCAGTAGAGAAAGGGGACATCAATTTTCTTTTACAAATAGTTTTGGTACTTATAAAATGGAGATACAGGAAACATAGGCATAGAAATGGTTCAATTGAGGTGCAAAAAAATACATTAGTTACTAACTCAGTGAATGTATCTATCTATCTATCTATCTATCTATCTATCTATCTATCTATCTATCTATCTATCTATCTATCTATCTATCTATCTATCTTTACATCCCCCTTTTCACCTAAGTGACTTTGGACAGTTTACAAGGAAAAAATATCAGAACTGTGCATGCTTCTGTGTCAAGGCTTCCATACTGAAGATAATACGTATGTGATTCAATTGCCATTAGCAAAGGTGCTTAGTAGCAATATGCTGTAAAACACGGGTGTCAAAATCGCCGTGTCATGTGACATGTCACAACATATCACAACTTTTTTCACATTGCCGGAGCTGGGTGGGCGCGGCCTCTGCAAGATGCAACCGGCCCGTGGGCCGGCAATTTGACACTCCTGCTGTAACATATTATTGTTGCTTGATGTTTTGAAGTACAATTTCCACCTTCTAAGGTTACTATAGCAATGCTGTCTCTGGTTTAAACCAGGAGTGCAAAACATCAGGTGGGCATCAATTTATGATGGGCATATTCCATGGTCACTGACTTGATCCTTTTCATCTCCTACTTTAAATACCCATGTGTTCTCCTTTCCTTTACTCAACCATCCTTACAAAAGAATGCAGTAGATCTCACATTCCTACATGCCTCTCTCCTCTTCACAAAAATGCTTTTGCAAAGAGGAGAGAGGCCTGCAGGAAGGAGAGTTTTGCCGTTGGCTGCATGCCTTCCCTCCCCCACCATTAATTCTGCTAGTGTAAGACTAATGGAGCTAATGGTGTGAGATAGGGTAGGCTAGCATCTACCAATGAAAGGAAAACAGCTACGCCAGTGTCTGAGAAAAAGACGGCCACTTTTCTGCTACATGGCCCAGTCTATTCTCCTTTCCTACCCCAACATCTTGAACTCTGGAGATCTTTGTAAGGTAAGTGAGTAATCAGTGATGGGGTTGGGAGGAGCATGTGGAACTAAGTGGGCTAGCAAAGCAGGCCCAGTGCCTGTGAGAGAAATAGGCAGGGGACATACTGCAGCATCTCCGTGGTCAGTCATAAGGGCAAATGACCGCAGTGGTGTTGCAACATACATAACTTCGGGACAGGATCATAAATATTTTTGGGAGAAGGGGTGTTATAACTTTGAACCATCACTAAGTGTCTTGAAAACTGTCTGTATTAAAGAGTTATCTGCAAAGTCTAAGCAATATTATTTGATCATTGAGTGCATATACTGCCTTGCTTTATGCTTTCTGGCTTTGGAAGCAAGCAAAACTATGATTTTTCTATCTTGCATAATAAATAATATGATCTTTTTAGCAAAGTTAAATTCTAGCCCATTTCAATGCACTGCTGTCTAAGACATTAATGTGAATTTGATTCATTTAGTCTTTCACTGTGTTGAGCTTTCCCTTGTTCATGCTTCTTACTTTCCATGTTCTCAATGTAATTCTGTCTATGCAGATTTAATTTTATTTTCCTGCATACTAACATCAGTAAATAGATGGCTTTAATCTATTGTGCCATCCTTAGCTCTTCCTGGTAGCACATTGAATGCCCTCCAGCTTGAGAGGTCCAAAATCCAGCACTACTTCATCATCAATTTATCTTGTTTGTTAATGTGGTTTTATTGTACAGAAGGTTGTTTACTATTGTCTTCTCTTGTGCAATATGAAATCATGTTACCACTACTTCTAGCATCCTCTCATATTGCTGCTGCCTGCTTGTTGTAATTTCATGCCTTGGTTCATTATATATTCTTGGCATATACTCTCAATGTTCTTTGTTCATTCCTCCCAGAAACATCTTCACTGCTCACCCCCACCATAATGAGACTGTAAGACAACATTTACTTCAGTTCACTTTGGTGCTTAACATGAATTTTACTGCAGGGAAAATAGTGCAATACTCCAATTTCTGAATGCATCAGTCCATGTGTAACAGATAGGATAGAAACAATAAACATTACTCAAGTCTCATGTCATTTATTCATTTATTTACTGTTTAGCAGACAGAATAAAAGAATTGGAAGGGACATTGGAGAACTTCTAGTCCAGTCATGGCGAACCTTTTAGAGACCGAGTGCCCAAAAACCGCCCTGCTCTGCCTGCTGGCAAGGCCACACATCTCCTCCACGGCCCATCACAGATCGCTGAGGCTGCCCAGCAGCACCATGGCTACCACGCCCTCCGCCTGCGTCCTGCAGCATAATCTGTGTGCAACAGGGCACGAGGGCGGAGTCTTGTCCCCACTGCCCGGTTTCCATGTCCTTGACTGCGCTGCTCCGTGCAGGCTACACCTGGGGGCGACTCTCCGGGGGGCCTATTGGTGAAGAGGGGACTGCGGGGGGAGGCAGGACTGGGGCGACAGTGCACGTGCCCACAGAGAGAGGTCTGAGTGCCGCCTCTGGCACGCATGCCATAGGTTCGCCACCACTGTTCTAGTCCAATCTCCTGCTCAAGCAGGAAACCCTATAACATTTCAGACAAATGGTTGTCCAATTTCTTCTTAAAACCTCCAGTGATGCAGCATCAACAACTTCTGGAAGCCATTCCACTGATTAATTGTTCTAACTGTCAGGAAATTTCTCCTTAGTTCTAGATTTGGCTCTCTCCTTCATTAGTTTCCATCCATTGCTTCTTGTCCTGCCTTCAGGTGCTTTGGAGAATCGCTTGACTCCCTCTTCTTTGTGGTAGCCCCTGAGATATTGGAACACTGCTATCATGTCACCCTTAGTCCTTCTTTTCATTAGACTAGACATACCCAATTCTTACAACCATTCTTTATATGTTTTAGTCTCCAGTCCCCTAATCCTCTTTGTTGCTCTTCTCTGCACTCTTTCTAGAGCAGTGGTTCTCAACCTTTCTAATGCTGCAACCCCATAATACAGTTCCCCATGTTGTGGTGACCCCCAACCACTTATACATCACCGGGTGCCAGGGGCATGGCCAAACAAAAGGGGGGAAAAATGGCGGACAGCCTTGTTTGGCGACCCCCATGAAATGGTCGTTCGACCCCCAAATGGGGTCCGGACCCACAGGTTGAGAACCACTGTTCTAGAGTCTTATCATCTTTTTTTATATCATGGCGATCAAAACTGGATGTAATATTCCAAGTGTGATCATACCAAGGTATTATAAAATGGTACTAATGATTCATGTGATCTTGAGTCTATCCCTCTATTAATACAGCCTATGACTGCATTGGCATTTGTATTTTACCTTTCCAATAAATATAATTTACAAAGAATCTACCGTGTTACTTGTCTGCTTATTGGATATGCCTTCATTCTTGATAACAGTAAATTGTTAGTATACTGAATGAATTTACCTAATGTATTTTGTATCATATTAACTATGCTAGTTAAATAAAGCAAAGCAGCAAGTAAGTATGATGAGACCTCCTTTTAGAAATGTGCAGAATGCTATTGGGAAATGCCACTGATCTTATTAACGGTTTCTATAACCCATGAAAAAGTGTTTGACATTTTCACTAAGCAGGAACTATCATATTTTATTCATTCCAGCTAGAATACAACATGTAACATTGTCTTCTTAACACTGTATTTGTCAGCTTTCGTTAAAGATTTTTAGAACTGAGTTCTCCCATATCTCTCTCACATACAAATAATGGACTATTTGTTCTCAAAAAAGTAACTAAGATACAACTGAAGAAAGAAGATTTGTTTTTGCTACTTACGGATGTTGTCTGTGCTCTCCCTCACAATATCAGTCTTAAGGAGGTTATCTGCAAGCACAAAGGCACTTTCTTCCACAGTGTCCAGTAACATGGTGGCTGCCCGCAGCTGATCACGTGCAGGAAGGTCCCTCCATGCATTTAGAGCTTGTGGCTGCAGGAGGTTATTAACCGTTTCAACCATGGCCTGTGAAAGAGGAGAAAGATGGATTTTTGGCAAGCCCCTTCTAAATATTAGTGAAGATTTAAAAATGAATAGTTACACGGGAGCAAAAATAACACCTTTCAAATTAATCAGGAGGTATTTAATAAATAAAGAGAAATTATTTATGATTGCGAACTAAAAAGATTGTAAATTGATATATGTTAAATTACCCACCTTAAAATCTCTACAATAAAAATTATAAACAGAGAGACTTATATATGAGCTTGCTTATATGTTAGCCTCAATGGACCTCCACTTTTACTTTCAAGTGTAATCCTCATCCTTTATAAATAAAAACCAACATTTAAGTTGGGACCAGTCTTTAATTAGCTGTGTGCTTTTATAGTTTAATTCTTCGTCCTGGAATCAAAATATACTTTGTGCTTATTCAGCTAAAACAAGTAAGAATAATAACTGGTGTAGTAGCTGGTAGTGTTATCTAAGGAATAGGTTGCTGCAGAAATAATTACTCCAATTAATGGAATTTTTCTGATCAGAGCTTTACTTTCAAATACATTCTACTTTTCAACAATATTTTTTATTATCCTTTTTTCTATTTTTTTTATTAATGATTCCCTATACTATATAATTATCTATTTTTCTGAGATTTGTACATTTTTTCTAGTAATAGTAGTAGATAATAATAGTAGTAAAAAAGAGCAGACAAAACAATGATATATTTAACGAGACAATGGAAAATACCTGGACATAGGCTCTACAGGAACGTTCCCGTTTCTGAAGCTGGTTCCACAAAGATGGCAGTTATGAAAACAGAATTTTAACAAATTAGCATCAGGAGAAAACAAAATATATAAAACAATGATACAATAGTATTTTTTTCTTAATAATATTGTAGACTTTAGGCTAAGCATCTTACTAATGAACACCAGGTACAAATATGTAAGTTATTAAAAATTATTCAAAGTGTAAACATTATAGATTTCCATTCAAATCCTTCTATCCTAAAAATATCTCTTTATTTAAGATGTTTAAATTACTTAAAAGTTAAAACTTATGGTGCACTAAAATCAAGCAAAGATTTAGGACTTAGGGAAAAGGATTTCCAATTAGGATTTTGCCATAGGGAATGTCCTATCTTATAACTCAACAGTTTCAATCAGTCTCTTGGCAAATATAGAACTTCATTCATCAGAACAGAATTTAAGAGAACCTGCAGTTTTTGTCAATTATCTAATTACTGTACATCTTTTTTTAAAAAAATAAACTAAACTAAAATATGCTAAACTAACTTATTTTAGAGAAATTTAAGTAGAACTTATAAAGAATATTTCTATGAAATAAAATTTATGAAGCAATAGCAAGCTTACATTTACATTTTTACAATCTTAGTGTGTGTGTGTGTGTGTGTGTGTGTGTGTGTGTGTATGTATAAAATAAAAAACATAGAAAACTTAGAAACAGCATAATGAGTGTTATGGAAATTTAGGAAATCTCCTTAAGTGAATTTAGTTGAGAATATTTGAGTGATCAGAAACAAAGCAGCATAAATAACAGAGTTTTTGAAAGTACCTATAAAATATTTATTAAAGCAGATAAATTACTTGGTCATTATTCAAGAGAACCACTACAATAATCATAGTGGGCCAATATAATATGCTTCCACAATAACATTTTGAAAGTCCTAAATTTCATGATAGATAATTATTCCTTGATCTCATGGAAATACTATATTATCTGACAATAATGTGGCTCTAAGAATTGGTGGCTTTTCTACAATTTATACTTTTTTAAATTAAAAATTTTCCAGTAACATGGAAATATTCTCAAAAGTGAAAGTGCTTTGCATTGTAGCAGAATGTCCATGAGTGCAAACACTTGTTAAGACTGCCTTGCATAGACCATGTATATATTTGGGTATATACAATGCTGTTTCAGAACATTCATCTTTTAAATGTACAAACAATTCAATATTGAGAAAAACCTTCTCAAAATATATTTAAACTGAGTAAATTATAATTTTCTTGCTTATATAGGAAAGATAAAGAAGTTGCAAAACTGTTACAAATTGAATATTTTCTTTCTTGGGTATACTGCACAGATTTATACAAATTCCAACTACTTCAGTGAAAATCCTTGCCAAAATTGTTAGCTGTTTCATTGAGAGGATATAGAAGAAAATCCAAGAAAAACTACTATAATGAATTTATATTTATTTATTCATGTATTAATCTTTTATGCCTCCTATCACCCCACAGGTGACTCTATAAGGGTGAAATAAATAAAGGCTGGCTTGAATAAAGGGTGAATAAAGAATAACAAACCTTGATCCCCAAATCTGTTTTGATACATTTTTATAAGTATATAATCATATCAATATATTTGAAACATTTATTATTTTATTATTGGCATTATAATTGCTATTCAAAGACAATTCATAGATTTTGTTTTAAGCTTTGTCTTTAACTAATCCTTTATCCAGCAGAATTAAAGAAAAAAATTATATTAGTGTAATTGTCTAGTAATATGGACTATTATCAGATTATTTAAACCAGGGAACAATGGTGGACTAAAGACAGTTTTGCTTGCAATGGAGCCAATAACCATGGCAGAATGAGGATGTGATGAATGGATTGCTGCCTCAAAATTGTTCTCCGATAAATGGGAGGAGCTGGATCCCCCATTGGGCTTCATCAAGATGCTTCCAATGGTGAGACCATAAAATAGTGATGTCTGGAGGGTTTTAGAGCCAGGAGAGACAGTTTTGCCCAAGCCATAATTTGAAGCCTTCAAAAAGAGATTGGTTCACAGACTTCCTTTCTTAATCACTTTTGGAAATGGCTTGTAAATTGCTTTTTGGATACTACCTATAGAAAGACATATTTTATACACTGAGCAATTTTCTTTCAATCCTTAGCAAAAGAAACTTCATCTACATTTAAACTTAAAGAAAATGTTTTATTTGGAAATAAACAGTAATCGGACAATCTCTTTATCCATATTTTGGATAGTTATAAATGTATAAGAGGCCAGATTGACTGGAAATAAGATTTCAGAACTAATTATAAAAATCCAAATAATCCTGTGGTTTGTTTAAAATCTTATTAAAGTATACGAAGAGAATGAGTCTTAAGTGTATGAAATCTTTCCATGGGAAAATGTTGTGGATTAGAGAAAACATGATAAGAGAAGACTGTGAAGGCTGGTTACTAGAGGCAACAAGAAAAAACTAAAGGTTATAATTAAAGGAGAAGACCCACCATTAGAGAAAACTATTTTAACTTTGGAAGCATTCAAGGATATTTAGCAACAATGAACTTAGAACTTTCTCTTAGATTGTCTGTTATTATAAAAATGGATTTAATAATTGGAGATAGAATAGGAATGCTAAGAATCAGGCTGTTTTGAATAGAGATTTAAAAATGATAGGTTACAAGAATATTTGCCAGGACTTACAGATGAAGTGAGTAGATGTTTTAATAGCTGAAAGGGTCACTTAAATTTCTAAAGTGAATTGACTTTGAATATATGAATTTGTACTCAAAACTGTGACTTGGACAACTTTCTTATTTTGGACTTATAAAAGATGAGGGTTTTTTGTTGTTGCATGGTTAGAGAAAATGATAAGCTCTAGTGTTAAAATTGAAGGAAAATGTTAAACTTGGGAAGGAGTTTCTAAGAGAAGATGAAGAAAAAATGATAACAAATTAATTTGTGGGACATTATTTGAAAGGATTGAAGATCAAGATTTTCAATATATTGCTTTTGGTAGCAATGGATTTTTTTTTCTTGATTAAGTTTGAATGATTGGTCCATTAGTGGGTGAAAGTGGCAAGAAGGTGACAAGCAACAGCGAGAAAGCAGAATTATTTAACTCGTTTTTTTGCATCTGTCTTTACACAAAGGGAAAAAACAGACCAACCTATCAAAAATAGTGCCATAAAAAACAGAATAGAAACACAAGTTAAGATAGGCAAGAAAATGGTAAGTGAGCACCTGTCCAGCCTAGATGAGTTCAAATCACCAAGACCAGATGGATTACACCCCAAGGTTCTCAAGGAACTGGCAGATGTGATCTCAGAACCACTGAACTATATTTTTCAAAGATCGTGGAGCACAGAGCACTGGAAAACAGCTTATGTAGTTCCCATCCTCAAGAAAGGGGAAAAAATGGACCCAGGAAATTACAGACCTATCAGCCTGACCTCAATACCTGGGAAGATCCTGGAAAAGATAATCAAACAACGAATCAACAAACACCTAGAGGTAAACAAAGTCATTACTAAAAGCCGACATGGGTTTGTCAAAAATAGATCATGCCAGACAAATCTTATTGCATTCTTTGACCAAGTGACAAAATTAGTGGATCAGAGGAATGCTGTGGACATAAATTACTTGGACTTCAGTAAGACATTTGATAAAGTAGATCACAACCTACTACTTGATAAGATAGAAAAATGTGGGGTAGACAGAATCACCACCAGATGGATCTGTAGCTGGTTGACCGGCCATACTTAGCGAGTGGTCCTCAATGGAACCGCATCTACATGGAGAGAAGTGTGTAGTGGGGTGCCCCAGGGCTCTATTCTGGGCCTAGTGCTCTTCAACATCTTCATCAATGATTTGGGCGAAGGGATAGATGGGGAACTCATCAATTTGCAGACGACACCAAGCTGGCAGGAATAGCCAACACTCCAGAAGACAGGCTTAAGATACAGAAGGATCTGGACAGACTTGAACACTAGGCACTATCTAACAAAATGAAATTCAATGGTGAAAAAAGCAAGGTTCTACATTTAGGCAAGAAAAACCAAATGCACAAGTACAGCATAGGTGGCACCTTGCTCAATAGTAGTAACTATGAGAGGGACCTCGGAGTCCTAGTAGACAATCATCTAAATATGAGCCAGCAGTGTGCTGCAGCTGCCAAAAAGGCCAACACAGTGCTAGGCTGCATTAACAGAGGGATAGAATCAAGATCACATGAAGTATTAATACCACTTTACAATGCCTTGGTAAGGCCACACTTGGAATACTGCATCCAGTTTTGGTCACCACGATGTAAAAAAGATGTTGAGACTCTAGAAAGAGTACAGAGAAGAGCAAAAAAGATGATTAGGGGACTGGAGGCTAAAACATATAAGGAACGGTTGCGAGAATTGGGTATGTCTAGTTTAACGAAGAGAAGGACAAGGGGGGACATGATAGCAGTATTCCAATATCTCAGGGGCTGCCATAAAGAAGAGGGAATTAAGCTATTTTCCAAAGCACCTGAAGGCAGGACAAGAAGCAACGGGTGGAAACTAATCAAGGAGAGAAGCAACTAGAACTAAGGAGAAACTTCCTGACAGTGAGAACAATTAATCAGTGGAACAGCCTGCCTCCAGAAGCAGTAAATGCTCCAACACTGGAAGTTTTTAAGAAGAGACTGGACAGCCATTTGTCCAAAATGATATAGGGTTTCCTGCCTGAGCAGGGGGTTTGGACTCGATGACCTCCAAGGTCCCTTCCAACTTTATTATTATTACTTATTATTATTACTTGATGAAGCTTTAAATGTTGTTTATAGATAAGAGATAATATATGAGAAAAAGGTTTTTTTGTTGTACTTTTAGAGAAAATGATATATTTTCCCTAAAAGTATAATGATAAGCTATTGTTTAAAGGAAAGGAATATGAAATTGCATGTGCATGTTTTTTTTAAACATGTTTTATTAATTTTTAACATACACCTTAATATTTGGTAAACATCATATTGTCTGGGTTAGTGTTTAAAAAACAAT